TTTTTTGTCTTTTTTCTTTTTATCAAGTAAAGTCTTTTTTGCTCATGCAAAAATTAAAACTTCTTCTTTATTTTTCATGTTAATGTAAATGTCAAATGTGACACAGCAGGCTTTTGGGGAACATTTGTTTGTCCATCTCTCAATTATCACTGATTTAAAATGAATTGCATACATGAGCCATAAAACCCTTATGTAAAAACATGATACTCAACAAAAAACATATGTGCATGTATATATGTATGTGTTTTCAAAACCACATGGGCCCCACATACAAATGTTAACTGGGTTAAAGCTGGGACCGAGATGGGTCTCGTGCATGTTGCCCAATTGGGTCCCACCTTGTGACAAGTGCAATCCTATATGAAATCCATGTGGGCAATTCACATGGGGCCATTATGGAACCCGCGGACAATCCCATATAAAACCCATATTTCAGCCCATTTCAAACCCACATGTGTCCCACATACAAATGTTAGCTGGGACCGAGATGGGTCCTGCACATGTAGCCCAGTTGGGTCCCACCTAGTGGCAAGTCCACTCCCATATGAAATCCATGTGGGCAATTAACATGGGGCCATTATGGAACCCGCGGACAATCCCATATAAAACCCATATTTCAGCCCATTTCAAACCCAGATGTGTCCCACATGCAAATGTTAGCTGGGTTAAAGCTGGGACCGAGATGGGTCCTGCACATGTAGCCCAGTTGGGTCCCACCTAGTGGCAAGTCCACTCCCATATGAAATCCATGTGGGCAATTAACATGGGGCCATTATGGAACCCGTGGACAATCCCATATAAAGCCCATATTTCAGCCCATTTCAAAACCACATGGGCCCCACATACAAATGTTAGCTGGGTTAAAGCTGGGACCGAGATGGGTCTCGTGCATGTTGCCCAATTGGGTCCCACCTTGTGACAAGTGCAATCCTATATGAAATCCATGTGGGCAATTGACATGGGGCCATTATGGAACCCGCGGACAATCCTATATGGGGCCCATTTTTCAGCCCAGTTCATACCCATATGGGCCCCACATACAAATGTTGGCTGGGCAGACTGTCCAAAATACTGCAGCTCGTTTCCTGACGAACAAAAAAGGGAACATATTTCACCTGTCCAGGCCTCTCTCCATTGGCTCCCTGTGAAACAAAGAATTGATTTTAAGGTTTTAACTTACGTGTTCAAAGCTCTACATGGACATGCCCCTATTTATATATCAGAACTTTTAAGTTTTTATTCTCCTCAGAGATCAATCAGATCTTCAGTCCAGCTGTTATTAAATGTCAACTTTCGTGTTGTTTTAAGGTGCTATATAAATAAGCTTTGACCTTGACCTTGACATCAGTGGTCAGACATGTGCAGGTACCTCAAGATGCTGTTGGTGAATTTGTCATTATTTTGGTGCGGCTTCTCAATAAAATCTCTTTTTCTGTCCTTAGACTGTTCATTGTTGTGGTATCACTGAAGCTGTGATTCGATTGGTCATCTCTGCTGTGGTGGGCGTGGCTACTGTTGGCGTAGTGGTTTATGACATCAGATCCAGAAGAGATGAAAGAAGCTGAGAACATCACAACCAGTCCCCTAATAATGGTCATGAAAAACCTGGAAACAGAATGTAACAATTGGACAGGAAATTAATTCAATCTTGATTAAACTTGAATTGATTTTTTTCTGCTGTAAAAGGTCTCATAAACTAAATAATGATCTTGCGTGGACTAAAACTTACTTGCAAGTCATGGTGATGTTCAGTTGATGAGTAATTTTTCTTTTGAGTAAGTTTATTGAAAAAATCAGTCAATCGGTTCACAAAACACTTAAAGATTCCTTGGCAAATTGTTCTGAATCAAAATTATCCTTATCCAGTTAAAACCTAAAATGACTGGTAAAGTCATGGAAATTCACTGGTAAAAAAAAAAGAGCAGGAACCCTGCTAGATGCTCATGATGAAGTCTTAATGTTTGCACAGAAATTGGTGTGATTTTTATTTATTTTTTTAATATAAAGAATATTGCGTTGCATATATCTTGCTTCTATAAAGACCCTTGAAATCTAAAGCATGACTTTAATGATTCTTCTTTGTGTAACTTGCTTGTCATTCAGTAGGACTGAATGGAGTCAGTTTGAACTGAGCTTCGGAAACTGAAGGTTGTTTGTTTGAATCCCAGTAGATTGTTGAAGGGTTTCCTGGAAATCATTTTAGGTGAATCTGTATCCCTATGATAATGAAAAGAAAAGAAAATGATTCTGGAGCCAGGGGCGTAAATTTCGTCTAACAGTAGGGGGGGGGACAATAAACAAAATTTCTCGAGCAATTTTTGAAGGGGACACAAATAATACAGCTAAAATTATACTTGTAAGGATATGTATACACAGAGGAATGGCTTACTACTATTAGTGCAGCAGGGAGACCGTGCCAAAATAGACAACTTAAAGCTGTTGTGGTTGTGCCGTGACAGCGCTCGTGTCCGTTGTAGACAATACTATCCTTCACAGTGTTGCCAAGTCCACGGTTTTCCTGTGGAATTGGTATACTTTATCACTGTTGCCGCGGGTTGAAGCGACCCCAATAACGGTTATTTTGGCCCCCGGGATGCAATTTTTACCGGGGTACCCCTAGAAAAGTGGATAGTTTGGGCTAGTTTTGAGTAGCAATTGGGTGGGTTCTGTTATGAAAACCTGGCAACCCTTTCCGTCAAGCAGGTAACGTTATTATTGCTAACATAGCGACTCATTGAAAAACACATTAATCATTAAAAAAATAATCACTTCATCCGATGTTTAAGTGAATAAAATAGCCTTGACAGCCTTACTTACTGGAGTTCCACAACTATTGTTCTCTCACCAGACTTGTGTGTGGGTGATGTAAAAGAGGAAAGCAGGCATTTGGACCAAAGCACTGTGAGGCAAGGGAGGGGGAGACTCAGAATGTTTCTAAACTTAAAATGCATTTTTGCCCCGTTTGTGTTGTTTTACTACTTACACAATTATTTCAAGTATAAAACATTGTTATTTACAATACACAGCTTGGTTTTTAATCATATTTTTAGGTGGGGGTGGGGCA